TTGTGCAAAAGAATGATTAGTGGATTTCAGCTGCTGGAACTGTTCTCATATTAGAAAACATTGCTTCCCATACCTTTGAAACCATTATGGAGGAAGAACATGTTGCACCAGAGGTTGCAAAATCTTTTAACACACGTATTTATCTAAACCTTCACTACTACAAACAATACATTTCATGACGAAGCTTTCACCTAAGCGAGAAAAAAAATCGAGGTGTTATGCCAAGGCGCACCATGTTTTATTTTCTTATAAAATAAAAACAACATATTCTCTTAGTTTTTAATAAAAATGAGGGGAAAACAAATGAGGGCATGCTTCGAATCCAAGTTTTTGCAGTTTATGTTTTAATTTGTTTATAAGTACAAACTAAATGATCTAACCCTTCAGTTTTTCGATATAACCGATGGATTCAAATATTATTCCACTATAAAAACACTCGTTAAACAGATTTTACTCTAATCCTTACTTATACGAAGTCGCTCCAAACTCGCATGCATCTTTCTTTGGGATGGATTGTAAGACAAAAAACTTCTGTCTTCTTCTATGCTTGAACAAAACATTTTTATGTCCTTGCAATCTATCTCACATAATGGTGTTGATGTTGTTGTTGTAATTTTTTCTCATTTGATAGATTGCAAGTGCAGAAAATCAATTTTGCTTCAAGTTACGTAAAGAAGGGAGCTCATCAACCTTTGTAAATTTAAATAAAGATGGGAGCATAACTTATCAGAAGATAGATAACAGCGAATATATTCGTCAATAAGAGAAAAGATTTACTAAAAATAATTTATTTTAATATTCTGCGTGAACAATGTAATTTAAAAAAATATTTTTTTCACCTCGGTTGTTTGTAATAATCGAGGTGATAGTTAAAATAAGAAGATAATTTACCTCGATTTTCTTATAAAATTGAGGGGTATGGTAATCATATTTTACTATAAGTTCATTCGAAACAAATTTTACCCTAATACTAACTTATATGTAGCTGCACTAAATAGAGGGAATATTTATCACTGTTCATTTCATGAGTTGCTACTACAAAAAATATTTTTAGGTGGATTTTCCATGAAAATATTTGATCTATAAACGCTTAAGAACTTGGGAAATGGATCTCTCTAGGATGGATTGCAAGTGCAGAAAATAAAAATTCTCATGTTGGGAACAAATAACTTATCGGAAGTTGGATAAGTTATGAAGTGTTTTTTGGATTATCAACATAAAGGTATGCAACAAAACTTGGATTCCACCAAATATTTATTATAAATAACGTATTTTAATATTCTGTGTAAACAATGTAATAGAAAAAAAAATCTTATTCACCTCGGTGACTTTTTTGAACTGAGGTATATGTTAAGCATTTTTTTAGGCTTTTCACCAGCCTGAATCAAATCTTTGTTGATCATTTAATGATTATCAATGCTCAAGACTCTGTTATTAATAATCCGCGTGAAATCTAAGAGACATCCATTATAAAAGCATGTTGAATATTAACATTTCTAACCTAAATGAAACATAAAGTTTTTGAAACCTAAAAACGCTTGGAAAAGTTCTTTATGTTGGATTGCAAGAGCAGAAAATTATCTGGCTTTAAGGTTTTTTATCTTAAACATTTATTTCAACCGAAAATCATATATTTGAATATTGATTTTAATTATCTTACCATTTATTTTCATCAGAAACAAATGCAAGCAAAATTCGTAGAGAATAATCTTACACCCAACATTTGATCTTCCCCAAGATTCAATAATTTGAAGATCTAAAGTCTAAATCTTTAGAGAATTTTATTTTTATTTAGATCTCTAGGGAATTTGATTTGTATTCTAATATTCTATGAAAACAATGTAAAATTATGGGTAAATAATGTACAAATTATTTTTTAAAAAAGAAATAATCTTACCCCTTGATTTTCTAGATATATCGAAATAAAAGATACGCTTGTTTTGAAAATAATAAAAGTGTTGCTGTTGGAATTCGGACCCGTGTACATATAACTTTACCCCTCGGTTTTTTAATCACCAAGGTGATAACTGGAAACTTTTTATGACACTCTTTGTTACCTCACTTCTTTAGCCGATTTAAAATGCATTTCGCGTCTGAGGTGACATCTATTTTTTGTAGTAGTGCTTGTCTTTAATGATATCTTCGACAGAGTTCAGAATATGTTGTCTGAAAGGCTTTCTACTTCTGATCCCATAACTCATGCAGTAAAATAGGGTTCCATCAGAATTTCTGTTGACTCTTACATCGCTAAATCTCAAGGCTTTCTATTCAAAGCATTTAACTTCTTTCAATCATAAGCATTAGAAGCTAAAGAAACGGATGGATTATGTGGTAGCCACTCAACAGTCTTTGGTTGTTAAGAAATATGTCATGGATGGTCAGCTGAAGAATGTAATTGCAAAATAATATCTAATGGGTTATGACTTGAAAGCTATCCTGGAGATATTGAAGCAAAAACCGTAGACTTTAGGATTCTAGCTAACATTTTTTTGTGTCTTTTTCAAATGTTTTGAACTTGCTTATATTGCAAAATATGGATCCATTTTCTTAATGAACTATTATTCTTCAGTATCTTTTCTATTTTCTTATTTATCTTTTTGTTGATGACAAAAGGGGAGAAGAAGGATAAGTATTTAAGCATTTGAATTTGATTGACTTAATATTATTTATGCTTAATTCTGAAGAATTATTTATTGTGTTTAAATGATAAATTTAATTAACCTGGATAAGACTTAGGGAGAGCTTACAAACCTCAACCTTAGGACCTTCTACTTAGGGGGGCTTATAAATGTCACCCTTAGGATTATCAGACTCAGAGAAAGCTTACAAACCTCATACCCTGGAGTCAGAATGTTAATTAAATCAACAATCATTGTTCTTAAATACTTGTGTTTGTCATCATAAAAAAGGAGGAGATTGTTGGAACAAAATTGGTTTCTACCATATCCATTAGGATTTGATGATAAAAAAGTATTTAAAGAACAATTAGATAGATTAATGTGTATTTGAGTGTGCAGGTACAAAGATAAATATACTGATTTAAAGTCAGTTTTGAAATTGCACTGAATATTGAAAGAGAAGCTCTTGAGAGGCATAATTTGAAGATCATACTCTGAAGAATCAACCTCTGATCAAGATGATCAGAACCTGAAGTCTCAAGACTGTGAATAAGCTAGCCTCTAAAGAGTCAGAGTCTAAAGGATGAGAAGCTAAGACTCGGACTCTGAAGAACCACAACCTGAACCTAGTCGAAGCTTAAAAATCGAGGATTTTCTAATACGCCGTTATTAGACTCTGGGGTCAATTTGTCTTGTTCTGCTCACGTGATAACTTTAGCTGAAAGTTACAGAAGCCTGAAGGTTTACAATTGATAATTTCTCTTGTATCAAAGGAATCTTAAATGAGTTTGCAATGGCATTAACCATTTATGGAAGCTTTGCAACAGATTTGTTGATGCCCCTATTCAATGACTCTCTTATGCTTGAAGATCTTTTCAACGAATCTTTCATGGAACTCTATAAAAGGAGCTGAATATTTTTAGAAACATATAACACTGCTCCTTGACAAGAAAAAGAGAAGTTAAGCTGCCAAAACAAAGAGCACAAACTAACTTAGAACTTCTTACCAATTGTACATTATTAGAAGTTCTTAAGTCTTAGAATTTCCTGTGTTGTAATTTGTTTATACCTTTAATTAAATATCAAGTGTAATTATCATTCTATCACTATCATTTATCTCTTAGATAGATTGTTATAAGTCTTTTGCTTGTGTGTTTGAGTATTTAAAAATTTCTTGCTTGTATGCTTGAGCAATTGGAAGTCTCTTGCATGTGTGCTTGAGCAGTGAAGTCTCTTGCTTGTGTGCTTAAGCAATTTGAAGTCTCTTTTGCCCGCGTGCTTGAGCAGTAAAATCTATTGCTTGTGTGCTTGAACATTGAAGTCTCTTACTTATGTGTTTGGGCATCGGAATTCTCTTGCTTGTGTGCTTGAGCAAATTGTAATCAGATTTGATTATAGTAGAAATTTCTTTGAAGTTAAAGAGGATTTGATTACTCCTGATTTGTATGAGGAACTAGGATAATGACTTGTGTGTTATCTTGCTATATTCTTTACTTATGTTCAATAATATTCTGCTGCTATCCATCAGACTCTGAATCAGACTCTGAATATTGTAATCAGAATCTGATAACGAATCTTAAGGAGAAAAAGAAAAAAAAAGTCAACACAATGCAACTCCCTTCTTGTGTTTTTCTCTCCTTCAAGGAGTTCTTAGGGTGGAGGTTAATAATTGAAAGACCTTTGAAAGTATTCAAGGGGATTGAGAAACAATTTTAAATATTTTTAAAATTGTGTGATTCATATAATAAGAATTGGAAAGATTGAGAAACATTTGGGTAAAAATTATGAGATGTCGTTCGAAATTTGAAAGGTTGTTTTCTTGTAACTCTTTTGTAATCTATTGTAACAACTCTCCAAAAATAATAAATTAGAGAGTTGTTGTAGTCCAAAGAATCGGTCGATTTAATCAAACTGAATAAACAAATTTTTTGTATACTCTTCACTTTATTTTCTTCTTTCTTGTTAGTGTGGTTTTGCTTACATTGTATAATTGACTAATTGATAAATTTTTTAAAACCATTTATGTTAGTTGTTACTAGTTTTGTCTCACACATCAATATTTTTTATTTGATTGACATTATCATATTTTATAACAAAAAGGACTTAATATAATTGAATCTTTCAATTTCACAAAATCATGACAATTAAAAAATCATTGTCTAGAATTTGCATCAAAACGAGAAAGAAAAAAAGACATTCAAGTCACCAAGTATTTAATTTACAATCTTTGAATGACTTTTCCTTTCGTGCAGGAGTTATTTCTCATATCACTTGAATGAAAAATTCCCATCCACTATTAATACTCTATAGCATGTTTCAAAACACTTCCATATACCATGTAGAAATTCGGACCAACTATAGGAAAGCCTTGGTTCATGTTCCTTAACAAGTTCCAACCTTGGATACCATCTCCTTTGGAACATTTTCTTCATTGCTCAAAACCACTCTTTGTTTTTGTATGTAGAACCATTTTTCTTGAAAAAGGTAGAAAAATACAATCAATGATATCTGAATAGTGAAAAGTATATTCCAAATTGTTGTACCTTTTGAGGTTTTTTCATGGTAAGCTGCTAAACCAACGTATACATTCAAAACACCCAAGAATGTGAGTGCAGTTCCAAGTATCCAGTGTGCAAAAAACCACACACTTCTTCTTTTGGATCCCCTATCAACAACAAGAAAATAAAAGCATGTAAGTGTGCATTTTTGTTCGAACAAAAGAGGATTGAAATGTTTTACCTTTGTGGTCTAAAGATACCAAGTAGGAGTTGAAGCCATATAATACCATAAAGTGCAACCCCTAATCTTTGATGATTATTGTTGAAGAGGTTGTTGAAATTTTTTATAGACATGATTGCTCCTGTTGTGGCAACAACTACACCAACCATCTGTTGAATACAAATTCAAAATTATACATCAATGAATATAAAACATGTGAACAAAACATACATATTTTATTAACAAGAGGTTGGAAATAAGACCTTTTATGTTAAGGAGAAGTGTGTGGAAATATTGAAGGTTTAAATATAAATTTGATAAGTAGGATAATTCTTTATGGAGGAGAAGAACTTTGTATTTTTGCTTGATGCAAATGTGTGAGATTACATCTCTATTTATAGTACTCTAAGGAGAACTCTAGACACACTAATTCTAGAGAGTTCTCAACTCTAGAGATCCAAAGACCATTCTAGAAAATATTACAATTATAAGAAATATCTAGAGATTCCATATATTACAAGAATTCTCTAGAAAATCACTTAAGCTCAAAATAACTAAGCCCAAAAACCAATTAATAAATTTAGGCCCAAATCAAGTTTAATATTTTCAACATCCCCCTTAAACTTGATTTGTGACTCCAAGCATACTCCTTAGCTTCACGAAAGTTTCCAACTTTAGTGACTTGGTGAAAATGTCGGCAGCTTGATCTTGAGACATTACATACTTCAACTTCACCTCTTTTTTCTCAATGCATTCTCTTATGAAGTGGTAACGGGTGTCGATGTGCTTACTTCTTTCATGAAAGACTGGATTCTTTGCCAAAGTAATTGCTGATTTATTATCAACACATATTTCTATTGGATCTTCTTGTGGCATTTTTAACTCTTTCAACAAGTTTCTTAGCCAAATTGCATGACAAACGCATGATGTGGCGGCAACATACTCGGCTTCACAAGTTGATAGTGTGACTATTGGTTGCTTCTTTGACATCCAACTGAATGCAGTATCTCCCATAAAGAACACATAACCAGCAGTGCTCTTCCTATCATCCAAGTCTCCACTCCAATCGCTATCACTATAGCCAACAATCTCATAATTATTAGAAGAGTAATAGTGCAAGCCAAAGTTAGTTGTACCTTTAATGTATCTAAGGATTCTCTTTGCCGCCTTGAAGTGATTTATTGTTGGAGCTTCCATGTATCGGCTTACAACTCCTACAGCATAGAGAATATATGGCCTTGTACTTGTTAAGTAACGTAGACTTCCAACCAAAGTTTTGTAAAGAGTTGGATCCACATTCTCCCCGTTTTCATGCTTGCTTAACTTGCTACCACATTCCATCGGGGTGCCAACTGGATTGGCATCATTCATCTTGAACTTCTTAATGACTTCTTTGGCATAGCCTTCTTGGGTGATGAAAATTCCTTTGTCTTCTTGCTTTACTTTGATGCCAAGATAATATGCCATGAACCCCATATCTGTCATCTCAAATTCATTTAACATGTCTTTCTTGAACTCTTCGAACATGCTTGGATTGTTCCCTGTGAAAATCAAGTCATCTACATACAAGCACACAATTAAAATATCTCCACTTTGCGCTTTGATATAGAGTGCATGCTCATATGGGCACTTGATGAAGTTCTTGTCTTGAAAGTACTTGTCGATTCGAACATTCCAAGCTCTCGGTGCTTGCTTGAGACTGTATAATGCCTTCTTCAACTTCAAGACTTTTTCTTCTTGCCCTTTTACTTCATAGCCTAGTGGTTTCTCAATATAAACTTCTTCTTCGAGAAAACCATTCAAGAAGGCTGATTTCACATCCATTTGATAGATCTTCCATTCATTTTGGGCTGCCAAGGAAATGATCAGTCTAATAGTTTCAAGATGAGCAACTGAAGCAAATACCTCATCATAGTCAATTCCTTGTCTTTGACTATAGCCTTTCGCCACCAATCTTGCTTTGTATCTCTCCACATTTCCTTTTGCATTCTTCTTTTCCTTGTACACCCATCTTACTCCAATTGCTTTATGTCCTTGTGGAAGTGTAGTAAGTTCCCATGTATCATTCTTCGTGATAGACTTGATTTCTTCGTCCATGGCGTCTCTCCACTTTATGTTTTCTACCGCTTCTTGATAGCTTAGAGGCTCACAATCACCAAAAATACAAAAGAGGTTAATGTCGTTTTAGTTTTCGATTACCTCATAAAGCTCTTCAATGCTCCTTAGTCGTGGTGTCTTCTCACTTGAACTTGTTTCATCATACCTTGGTGTCGGTGAGAAAGGTGGTGTAATATGTTCCTCTATCATTGGTTGTTCCATTTCTTCTTCTTCTTCTTCTTCTTCTTCTTCTTCAAAGTAAGGAAGAAAATCATACTTGTCTTCTTGAGCACTCCAATCCCAATAATCTTTTTCGTCAAACTCCACATCACGACTTATGATGATCTTTCCACTATTTGGGTTATAAAGCTTGTACCCTTTAGAGCTTGAGTCATAACCCACAAATACATACTTCTCACTTTTATCATCGAGCTTTGTTCTTCTTTCATCTGGAACATGGGTATAGGCAATGCTTCCAAATACTTTGAGGTGAGAGATCCCAGGTTTCCTTCCACTCCATGCTTCTTGGGGTGTCTTTTCATGCATGCTTCTTGTTGGGGAACGATTTGTCAAGTAAACTGCACATGCCACTACTTCGGCCCAAAACTCCTTTGGCATCTTCTTGCTCTTGAGCATGCTTCGTACCATGTTAAGTATAGTCTGATTCTTTCTCCCTGCTATTCCATTTTATTGAGGCGATCTTGGCACAATCAGTGGGCGACGGATTCCATGGTCTTCACAATATTTTATGAACTCATTTGAAATGAACTCTCCTCCTCAGTCAGATCTCATGGCCTTGATGGAAAGACCACTTTCTTTCTCCACAAGGGATTTGAACTTCTTAAAGTTGTCAAATACTTCTGACTTCTCCTTCAAGAAATAAACCCATATTTTTCTGGAATAATCATCAATAAAGAGGAGAAATTATTTATTCTTACCAAACGAGTTGGGTTTGATTGGTCCACAGACATCCGTGTGTATGAGCTCTAGTGGCTTTGTCTCTCTTGACGTTGATTCCTTTGGAAAACTTTTTCGGAATTGCTTCCCAATTAGACATCCTTCACAGAGTTGGTCTGGGTGGTTGATCTTAGGCAAGCCTCTCACCATCTCTTTCTTCGACAAACATTCTAGACCATCGAAGTTGAGGTGCCCGAATTGTAGATGCCATAGCCATGAAGAATCGGTATAGCAAGCCTTGAGACACTTTTCTACGTCATTTTGAATGTTCAAGAGGAACATTCTATTTTTTGACATAGGCACCTTATCAATCAAGTTATGACTACAATATCTTAAGAAAAGACTATGTTCTTTTAAGTGGATGTCATAGCCTTTCTCTAATAATTGTCCCAAACTCAAAATATTATTCTTCATGTTAGGCACATAATAGACATTGGATATGAATTGATGACTCCCATTCTTCAAGCGTATGAGAATTTTACCTTTGCCTTTGACCGGTATCTTTGAGTCATCTCCAAATGATACATCACCAGTTGCGGCTTCATTGATCTCTACGAACATGCTTCGATCGCCACACATGTGGTTGCTTGCGCCAGTGTCCAAGTATCACTTATTTCTTTTCTCTTCAACTTCGTTTTGACAAGTGAGTAGCAAAGTTTCTTCTTCTCCACCTTTTTCTTCTACAAAATTAGCTTTCTCTTCCACCTTCTTCGAGAATCTACACTCAGTTGCGTAATGACCAATCTTGTTGCAGTTGAAACATTTGACTTGTGATTTATTGCTTCTCGACCATGAGGTTCCTCTTCCACGACCACTTGTTGCTTGTGGATTCCAACTTCTTTCTCCATTGGTGAAGTTGTTGGAGTAGTTATTGCAACCGCCTCTTCCTTCTCCTCCATGTCCTATTCCACGTCCACGATATTGGCCACGACCTCGTCCTCTTTGGCTCTTGTAATTCACATATTTTGCTTCCTTTATGTTGAGTTGTAGTAATTTCTCCATAGCCTCCTTTTGTTTAATTTTTCTCTTTTGTTTTTTTTCATATGCTTGTAAGGAACCCATGAGTTGCTCAATAGTCATTGTCTTTAGATCCTTATTTTCTTCAATGTTGGTAACAATGAAGTCAAAACTTAGATTTAAAGTGCGAAGTATTTTCTCCATGACTTTCACATCATCAACATCTTCACCATTTCTCTTAAGTTGATTGACTACAGCCAATACTCGAGAAAAATAATCTGAAATTGACTCGGACTCCTCCATAAATAAACGTTCAAAGTCACCTCTAAGAGTTTGAAGACAAATCTTTTTTACCTGTTCAACTCCTTTGTTGCAAGTTTGAAGCTTGTCCCATGCTTCTTTGGTCGTTATTGCGTTGGATATCTTCTCAAACGTATCTTCATCCATCGATTGATAAATGAGAAAGAGAGCTTTATTGTCTCTCTTTCTTGACTCTTTCAATGTCTCTCTTACACCTTGGTTTAGCGAGGATTCATCTTGCTCCTTGAAGCCTTTCTCAACAATATCCCACACATCTTGAGCTCCTAGTAGCGCCTTCATCTTGATACTCCAATTATCATAGTTGTTCTTTGTGAGCATCGACATTTGGAAAGGGAAACCACCATTCGCCATTTTGTGGATCTTGAAGCTCTGATACCACTTTGTTGGAAATAAGACATTTTATGTTAAGGAGAAGTGTGTGGGAATATTGAAGGTTTGAATATAAATTTGATAAGTAGGATAATTCTTTATGGAGGAGAAGAACTTTGTATTTTTGCTTGATGCAAATGTGTGAGATTACATCTCTATTTATAGTACTCTAAGGAGAACTCTAGACACACTAATTCTAGAGAGTTCTCAACTCTAGAGATCCAAAGACCATTCTAAAAAATATTACAATTATAAGAAATATCTAGAGATTCCATATATTACAATAATTCTCTAGAAAACTACTTAAGCCCAAAATAACTAAGCCCAAAAACCAATTAATAAATTTAGGCCCAAATCAAATTTAATATTTTCAACACAAGATCCGGTTTATCATTTTTTACCTGATTCAAAATAACTTTTAGATTGGTTGAATAACTAAATATCTAGTTTATCAATAAATCTAAAAAATTATTAATATCTTAGAGTTAATGATAGATCAAATATATTGATATCAATTTAATGAATTAAAAAAATGACATGTATAATGAAGGGAGGAAATAATTTTTTTAATAAAATATTTTATTGTTTTCAAAGTACCCATTATAGTCCCCGTCAAAAAGGAGGCAATCACCATTACATGATCTTATTAGTAACTAACAAGCTTTATGATAAACTAAAATTATGGAAATCTTGCCAATCTAATGATCTTATCTTCATTTCATGCCATCTTTTATTACTTTCACCACTAGTGGATGTCGAGTAAAAATAACCACAGAATATCCTAATCTATGACACTTTATATTGTCTCTTATTCTACACCCACTCTAACTTTTTTTATTATTAATTTAACCCTTAATTTCTAGTTACTATTAACCCTATTAGAAACTATAAATAATTAAATGTAATTGGATGTCAAGTAAAAGGGAAAATAGTTATGACATATTCTCTCTATTCCTTATCGGATTCAATGTTATTCAATTAATCTAAAAAGTAATATTTTTTAAAAATAAAACCAAAAACGAATAATATATATAATATACTTGCCTGCAAAATTGTATGAAGATAGAATAAAATTCTAAGCCACCTTGGATTTTCTTCTCTATTTGATAGTCTAATTGCAAGTATACCAACAGGCATCAAGAATCCCATTGAAGCCCAAAGAAGAAAGCCATGTAATGTAATTTCAAATTGAAGTCTTGGACTCATCTTCATATATCAAATAAAATTAAAAAAAAAAAATGAAACAAAAATGAGTGAAAAAGTTATTATTAATTAAAGCAATATTAACAACCATTTTAACATATTAAAAAAATAGGATAAAACTCATAAGATTGAAGATTAATAGAAGAAGAAGAATATGCAACAGATATGAGATAGATATACCTTAATGTGGTTGTCTTTAATTTTGTGGTGCTCTTGTGAAGAACTAACAATGGGAAATAAGAGCAGAATAAGACATGTTTGAAAGAGGAAAGAAGTGAACTTTATATGATGGATTCTCATTAAATCTTCCATTTTCTTGTTGTGCTGAAAATTGGAACTTTGGTCAACACAATCTCCAATTAATGGTAGTGGAAATTTAAGAAAGGAAAAAAAAAAAGAGCATTTCAAGAACTCAATGTGGTGGCACATAAAGGTTCTTCTTATGATTCTCTTTTTATGTGTCTCTCTCTTGCTATGTTAGTGTGTGAGAGAATACCGAGAAGTGAGCACTCTTATCATCTTTGTTGTCAGAGAGAGAGAGCAACAAAAGAGTTGTCACATGTTGAAGAATGAGTGAGATCAATGTGATGTAAGAGTAACCTCATGATGGAATTTAGTTTACCCTTCTTGATCTTAGTTAAGTAATTCCTCATTTATGAAATATAAGACATTTTAATCACTCACATAAATTAAAAAATATAATTATTATTTTATGAGAAACTGAAGAAAATATATTATTTTATGAAAATATTTTTTAATAATTATATTTAAAAGCGAAATTAAAAAATTAAAATAAAAAAGAAAGATAAATAGTAGAGAATATATTAGACAAAAATTATTAATAATATATTAAAATTATAAAGTGATTTATAATTTATGATAAATATTTTTGACAAATAGTTTATAATTTAGGATAAATCAAGTAACCAATATTTCAATAATAAATAAAGAATCTTTATCATAAATTATTTTTAAGATATATTAAATAATTAATAGAAAAATTTAATAATAATTAATATATTTGGAGTATATATTTATTCAATATATTTAAAAAATTTAAAAGTAAATTTCTTATTATAATAAAAACAGCAAATGTTATTTTTGGTCTTAAATAATACTTTTTAAATTTATCAAAATAAAAATAATATTTTTATAATTAAAAAATTTACATTTAGAATTGTTTTTTAATGTGCACAAGACATACTACCATACAAAATTCAAAATTTATCATGGTTAATTTTGAATTAAAAAGTATATAAATATTTATTTCAATAATATGATTTTATTTCTTTTTCCAATGTTAAATGATATGATAAAGAATTTTTTATCAAAATGACTAAGTTTTAAATTTTTTTCGAAATAAATAAGTTTTCCCACTAATTCTCAAATAACTCATGTTTCAAATAAAAAAATTGACAACACAGAGTACATGCTAATTCAATTGACGCATGCATTTTAAAAAATAGAGCTAGCACCAATTGAATTGGCGACTGAATATGGAGACATCAATTGAATCGACGACACAACATGGAAAGTATATGGACACGCCAATTAAACTAACAACACTTCATGACAAGTAAGTGCAGACGCCAATTCATCTGACTCTTATGTGTTGGATTCTTTTTTTAGTATAAATAGAAGTGTCTTCTACTTACTCCACACCTCTTCTCATTCCTTCTTAATTGTTTTTCACTAGCTCTATCATGGTTGTTAAAAAAATAAAGATATTTGTTTTTCAAGAATGAAGCCTCTAATGAAGATGCATTTTTGAAACATCTGTAGTTTCGAGAAACTTGAAGTTTTGGTTAGACGAAGACATTAATGATGGCGAAAGAATAAAAAGTACAAAGAGATTTGTTACGTACATCTCTATTGCAGATGAAATGATATGCAGCGAATATGTTTGTTTTGTTGTAACTAAAGGTTTATATATATATATATATATATATATATATATATATATATATATATATATATATATATATATATATATATATATATATATATATATATATATATATATATATATATATATATATATATATATATATATATATATATATATATATATATATATATATATATATATATATATATATATATATATATATATATATATATATATATATATATATATATATATATATATATATATATATATATATATATATATATATATATATTAAATGTCAAGGTTACAAAAATTTAAACAAAATAAATAAATTATCATGTTTAACTTGTTCCAACATTGGGGCAACATTTTCGAGTGTGTTCGGGTTAACGGTATATACCACATAATCTTACTACTTTATTAACCATATCAATTTCGGTTCTAAAACGCATGTTGTTGGGGCAACCTATTTCGATTGCAACATTATGAAAATTTAAATGTCAGATAGATGCAAAGAAGTGTCATGACGAACTTATGAACATGTCACAACGACATGAGAGCAAGACATACAGAAAGTTTGAAACTTTTCATAGTCGCACCAACCTCTATGTAGTTTGACCCGGTAGTATCTCTTTGCTTTTCCCTCATCGTGGTCCATTGTCTCCTCTACGGTGAAAATGTGTTTATGAGGGTCAAATCTTGTAACCGGATGTGTGTTAGCTCTGATAGTTTTTTCTTTCATCACTTTCATACAAATTTCACTAAACAGTTTCTTCGATTGTAATTCTAAATTATATTTTTTCGTCTTTGCTTGTGAACAGTGATCCCAACCTAAAATAGATGGCTCTCACCAACACGATTATGGATAGGTTTCTAATCCCTTTAAAGACATAGTTTATTGATTCTACAAGGTTTGTTGTCATGTGACCCCATTGTCTATCCTCGTCAAATGTCCTAGTCTAGTTCTTCACTTGAATATTATCAATCCGCCATAATGCATTCACATTGGAAAATATAATTTCCTCGCGCTAGTGCGAATGATGGTTGATTTAAAGCATACATCGCGTTCACAACTTTTTTCCGAAGATTCTTGTCTTTGATTTCCCGATATAGAAACAAGACTATTTGAAATTACACGAACTTATTAAAAAATCTGGTGATGGTGATGTTTCAGAGACCTCATATCAAACACCTGGGATAAAGCAATAGAGATTAGTACAAAAAAATATCTAGAAAGTGTGGAATCAATGACATGTATGACCAACTCAATTGTCATCTTTAGTGTTTAAAATATTATCATATATAAACCATATTTAAATTAAATATTAATACTTTTATTCATTTTTTATATAATTTATTCTTTCAATTGAAAAATATCACATTAAAAAACCAGATGAATCGACGACTCCTCCTAAATATTATACATATGCGTCAATTAGACTAGTTAAACCTACATTATCAAATATCTTACATGAATAAAGAATAACATGATGTTACATACTTTTTTATTTTTTTCAACTATATATTAATATATCTAAGAATGCAAACTACTATGAAAAAAATCTAAAATAAAATCATTCACAAAAATCACATAATCTCTTTTATAGATAAATTCCATTTTAAAGTGTTACATTTTACATTTTTATATTTTTCATTTTATATCAATTCTCTCTTATTTTTTTATAATTTTTTTCTTTTAACTTTTCTTTACTCTTTTAATTTACTATTATTTAATGTCAAATATTTAAAATTTTAAAATTATAATTTTTCTTAGAGAAAAAATTAAAATAAATTAAAATATTTATTTTATTTTGTGTATATTTTAAAGTAAAATTTAAATCAGACGGATGAATGAAATGTTTATTCGACTCCTCTCAATATAATTGACATTTGACATTTGTTAATAATAAAAGAACAAATTATTTTATAAAATCTATTTATAAATGTCTTTCATCAAAATATAATTATTTTCATATTAAACAAATTATTATTGATACATTACATTGAGACACCTTTTATCTATGAGATTAATTATTATACACCGACAGTTATAAATTTTTTTTACACATTCATCCAATGAAATCACATCATAGTGTCATTTTCATAAGTTTGTTCGTAAAATATATAGGTTCAAATAATATTCTGAACTAAGTCCGCGGTTGGCCCACTGTCGCACAAAACTCAACTTGCCCCCACATCGGGGATGGCCCAAATGATGGCTCGGTCCATCATAGCCCAATTTGAGATGTATTCCTCACGTGCTTCTCACTCGAGGACACGTCATCAGCGTGTTCCGGACACTTCAGAGTTGTTACGACTTTTGTAACAGATGTGGTTCGTCCACTACCTGTGAAGTTCGGAGCACGTCACCCAGGATGATGAGTGTGTGGTGCTCATCCTCGCTCTCATGTGAGAATCCTGATAGTCATCCATTATGGGCTTGGATATTCAGTCCATAATGGAGACCGTTGGTCCAGCGCTGGAGCTCTATAAATACTCTCATGTACAGGAGAGTCGGTTATTTTATTCACTACTCTCAATCTCGCTTACCTCTCACTCTTTCTGATTTTAGCAGCAGAGTGCATTGTAGGTAACCCATCCCCCTTGGGGAACGCTTTGGATCAACGAACAATTGGACCAGCCACACTTCACTACTACGGAAAAGGGCTACTAAAGCGCTTATTTTGGCCTTTAAAAGCGCTTAAAAGCGCTTTAAAAGCTTGCGCTGGCGTAGGTAACAAAAGCGCTTCTAAAAGCGCTCTGGTAGACCCCCCCTTTAAGAGCGCTTCCTGGAAAAAGCGCTCTGGTAGGACCCCCTATAAGAGCGCTTTCCTGGAAAAAGCGCTCTGGTAGACCCCCCTTTAAGAGCGCTTTTTAAAAGCGCTGCCAAAGACCAGTAAAAAAGCAAAAAAAATTAAAAAAAAACGCAGCCTACAAAAGCGCTTTTGTAAAAGCGCTCTGGTCTTTGGCACCTCTAATATAAACAAATTCCTTCTACTCCTAACAAATTAAAAAATAAACACTACCATTTTTCTATTAATGTCTTATGTAACTAATAATTAAAGTTTACAAAATTTCAACTTCTAAGGCACCAAACTAAAAAAAATTATCACATTATCACAATACAAACACAATACTTCAAACCAGAACATCAACTTAATAAAACAAACCAAAAACACATTATCACATTATCACAATATTATACTTCAAACTAAAACACCAACCTACAACAACACAAGATTACTTCAAGATTAATTTTTAAAAACAATGTTAAATCTTACTTAAGATTTAAGAGGAAGGAAGCAAGTTAGATGAAGAAGATGGACTTCTAAAAACCAGTTCGTGAAGGCCTCTGGAGGATTGAGATTACTTGAATGAGAGAGATTACTTAAGCAATTGAACGAGAGAAAGAAATTGTTCT